TTGTGAATCACAATGCTGAAATTTCTGTGAATGCTATTCATGAGGACCAAACTGATATTTGGCATAGACGTTTAGGTCATATGAGTAGTCGTGGTCTTGAAATTTTGCATAAAGCGGGATGTTTTGGTAAAGATAAATTATGGTCTTGAACCGGGGCTCGGGAGTGAGGTGCAGCCCTCTTGTGTGCCTTTTTTTTATTCTTGTGTACTTGGCAAGCAACAACGTGTTAAATTTCTTGTTTCACCTTCCCCTAAACCCTCTATGTGTTCGGGAATTCTTAAATATTTGCATGCCGATGTTTGGGGTCCCGCTAGTGTTCCGACACATGGCGGGAGTAGGTATTTTCTATCTGTGATTGATAATTTTTCTAGGAAGGTCTTTGTGTTCCTTTTGAAAAATAAGTCTGATGTGTTTGAAACTTTTAAGACTTGGAAAATCTTGATTGAAAACCAAACCGGTAAAAAGATTAAAATTCTTAGGACTGATAATGGGCTGGAATTTTGCAATAATTTGTTTGATGAATTATGTGCTCAATCTGGTATTCAAAGGCATAAAACCGTGCCTTACACCCCTCAACAAAACGGTGTTGCCGAGCGGATGAATAGAACTTTACTTGAAAGGGTGAGGTGTATGTTGTCTAGCTCGGGTCTTTAAAAAAAGTTCTGGGGTGAGGCCGTTTTAACTGCTACATATTTGATAAATAGGTCGCCTTCTGTGCCTTTAAATGGTAAGTGTCCTGAGTTTGTTTGGTCTGGAAAAGAAATTGATTTTTCAAACTTGCATGTTTTCGGTTGTGCTGCATTTTGTCACATGAAACTTGATAAACTTGAACCTCGTTCAATGAAATGTGTTTTCTTAGGATATCCTGAAGGTGTTAAAGGTTATAGATTGTGGCTTAGAAGTGTACCCGGCTTTAAGGTCGTGATAAGTCGTGATGTTGTGTTCAATGAATCTGAAATGCCATGTTTAAATGCTTCGTTGCCTGCTCCTTTGCCTGATAAATCTGAAAATGCTCCAAATACGGTGGAGCAATTGCTCGGTTTAAGTGATTTCAATAATTCTGAAAATTTGCATGCTGAAATTGAAACCGAACGTGATGTGCTTGATAATCAGCCTGCTGAAATTGCTGAAATTGAAGCTGTGCGTGCTGAAACTAAAAATCAGCATGCTGAAAATGCTGAAAATATTGATGTGCATGATGAATATGTGGAAAATGTGCCTGAAAATGATGTTGATTTGCATTATTATCAACTTGCTAGAGATAGGACTAGAAGGGAACGTAAGAAACCTTCTAAGTTTGATGATTTTCACATGACTTCATATGCTTTTGGTGTTTTCGAGTCTATTGATAATTGTGAGCCTAAGCCTTATGAGGAAGCCCTAAAATCTATTAACTCTGTGCAATGGATGAATGCTATGCGTGAAGAAATTAATTCGTTGCATGTGAATCATACTTGGTTTCTTGTTCCTAAACCTGATAAATGTTCCTTAGTGGATTGCAAATGGTTGTATAAGGTTAAACAAGAAAATGATTCTGTTAGATTTAAGGCTAGACTCGTGGCAAAAGGGTTTACTCAACGTGAAGGTATTGATTATACCGAGATTTTTTCACCTGTCGTTAAGTTCACTACTGTGCGCATCATGCTTGCATTAGTTGCTCATTTTGATTGGGAATTGAAGCAAATAGATGTTAAAACTGCTTTTTTGCATGGTGAATTGGATGAGAAAATTTATATGAAACAACCTGTCGGATTTGTGGATGCTAAGAAATCTGATTATGTGTGTTTGTTAAAGAAATCCTTATATGGTTTGTAACAATCTCCTAGGCAATGGAACAAGAAGTTTGATACGTTCATGCTTTCTTTAAAGTTTAAGAGGAGTTCTTATGATTGTTTGTACTTTAAAGAAGATGCTAATGTTCCTGTTTTTCTGCTCATTTATGTGGATGATATGTTGCTGATCGGTCCGTGTATTAAGTCAATTGAGCATGTTCAAAAATGTCTATGTGATAATTTTGATATGAAAAACCTTGGGGATGCTAAAAGGATTCTTGGAATGAACATTAGTCGTGATAGGAAAAATTCTGTGATTTTTCTTAATCAAACTTCTTATGTTGAGAAGATTTTAAGTAAATTTTCTATGTCGTCCGCTAAGTCCGTGAATGTCCCACTTGCTGCCCATTTTATTTTAAGTAAGGATCAATCTCCTAAGACCGATTCTGAAATTGATTTGATGAAGAATGTGCCGCATTTAAATGCAATTGGTTCTGTGATGTATCTCATGGTTAGTACTAGGCCGGATATTGCATATGCTGTTAGTTGTTTGAGTAGGTACATGTCTAATCCGTGTATGCCTCACTGGGAAGCTCTTAAGTGGTTGTTGCGTTATTTAAATGGTTCTATGCATGTTGGGCTGAAACTTTCTAAGTGTTCTGAGGGTGTTAAACTTGTTGGCTATGTTGATTCTAATTATGCTAATGATAGAGATAATAGAAAATCAACAACTTCCTATGTCTTCACTTTGTGTGGTTCTTGTGTAAGTTGGAAATCACAACTACAACATATTGTTGCTTTGTCTACGACCGAATCTGAATATGTGGCTGTTACTGAAGCCTTGAAAGAGGCTGTTTGGTTGAAGGGTCTCTTGTGTGAAATCAGTTTGCTTAAAAAAGATGTTGTTGTGTTTTCTGATAGCCAATCGGGGATTCAATTGTGTAAAAATCCTGTTTTTCATGATCGCACTAAGCATATAGACGTTAGATTTCATTTCATTCGTAATATTGTTTCTAAAGGCTTAGTTAATCTTGAAAAAATTGCATCCGAGTTTAATCCCGTTGATATAGGAACTAAGTGTTTACCTGTTGAAAAATTTAGGTCATGCATGAGAACGTTGAACTTTGACTGTAGTGATTGAGTGCAGGTGTCGTAAGGCGATGATGAAAGTCCTCCGGTCCCTCAAGGTGTTCGGTATTCGGTGGTTGGCCAAATCGGTAGAGAAATGTTGGAAATTTGGCCCAAATCTCAGGCCCAAGGAAGCCCCGGCCCAAATCCCGTCTGGGCCTGGCCCTCACTTACCCGAATTAATTCTGTTTTTCATGATCGCACTAAGCATATAGACGTTAGATTTCATTTTATTCGTGATATTGTTTCTAAAGGCTTAGTTAATCTTGACTAACTTCCATCTTCTTGATCTACTTTCTCAAACTGGCACCATAGCAGGTACTTGAAATGGGGTGACCCATATCGAATTAGAACATCAATGACAAAAGAATTCACAATAAAAATCAGAGGAAAGACAAAATTCATAATTCTGAAACATACCATATTTCCCAACAATACCAACCTTCTTGGTTCTCTTGGCCCACAGTAAGAATAAGATTTTAGTGAAAAGGACAACCATTGATAATACTATCATCCATAAAAAAATCACCAGTGGCCAAAATTTTTACTTTAAAGATCAGAAGCTACAGTAGAGTAGCTTTAATGATTTGTTCACAATCACCAAGACCAAAAATTTCTCAAACTGAAGCATAAAATTCGAGGTCGCTGAAAAGCCACAACTGAATAATGAACCACAAAATCCAGCTTAAGCCAAATATAGTAATGAAGGTACATATGACAAAACAGGATATAGTGAGAATCATTGCGAGAATTAAACGAGTACTTTTTCTCTTGGATTAATTTCAACTCATCCAATCTAATTCTTGTTGACCGTATAAAAATTTAGATTTATGCATATGATTAATTTCACGTTATACATCAAAATATCAAATTCTTGTTGACCTATGGTTAATTTTATAGTAATTGATTGAAAACCTCGCCCACCGCATGCATGATCATCCACGGCACAATGAGGTTCTTTGTTCAATCTTTTAATGTCATCTAACTAACAAACTAAAAAAATCAATGTGAACCAACTTTCAATGATGCTTTTCTTGGCTCCCAATCAAGCCAAATTACCGACACAGAAAAGGGAGAATTATTAATATAAGATGCACTTGAAAAAAAAATTAAAAAAATTGATATCACTTCTAGCAGAAACACTTCTTGTGAATGGCAGACAGTTATGCTCGTTTCTCTTTCCTCTGTTCTCCACCATGATTCTTCAGTTTCTTTAGCATTATAGGGCCACTCTGAGTAATTTCCTGTATAACAAACCGTCCAAAACTAACTCAAGAAACTGCAAAAGTGGATTTTAGTTTTTACATAATAAACAGATCATAATCAATTTTAAAATCAACGAGTATAATAATTATACAATTCTTATACCTGGCCAGTTGTGTACATAATATTCCCAAAATGGTAATTTAAAAACTGAAGAGAGATTGATGATGGTGCGTACTTCTTTTATATTATCAGTCTGACCATTAGTCTTCGCCTACCAAGTTTTGTTGGCTCAAAATTGTGTACGATCACTATCTTATATTATTATTATAGTAGTACGAAGTACTTAAACCATCAAATTATGATCTTTAACATGTGCTTATCATATGCTTCGAGAGAAATTAGTTTAATGTAATGAGTATTAATTGGTGGAGGCCATGAGCGCATCCACCGTTTGAACCGACACTTGGGAGAAAATAATTTAGATATAGAAATTCAAGAAAGTATATGGAATGCAACTGACCAAGTATTTGGTGAGAGAAAAATGCAAACATAATTGCCACTTTTTTCTTTAGTGGACAAATCAGAAAGCGAAAAATTTGTACTGTCATGATCCAATTTACTGAATATATCAAAGCCCGCCAAAAAGGTTGGACCATAAACACAATCTGCAATATTCAGAAGGTAATCCAAGATCAAGAGATAGGCCCAATATAATTCAAATATGCTTTTTTCATGTATGTATATGGATTGGGCCTTGAGCTTGGTCACTTCCCCTCCATCTTCACAATATCACATCTATATGTCACAATCATAGTCCTACATGATGGAACAGTAAATTATAAATGCAAATTTCATACACACACAAACACAGAGAGAGAGAGAGAGAGAGAGAGAGAGAGAGAAGGCATGCACAGGCCCATTTCATTGTGCAAAATAAATGTTCGTGCCATTAGATCCAAACGAAATACGAAAAGAAAAATGCACGAGCAAATTACACGATAAGGAAAATTAGTTATGTTGCTAGTGTCTGAGATTATCTACGATAAGGTTCTCTCCTTTGGATTTCAGTTTTAAACACTGCAGCTAGAAAATGTTAGGACAATTTTGGCATTTTATAGGCTTTTCATCATTCATCACGGGACAATCCCAACAAAGAGAAGTTGGCATCTTCTGATCCAAGAAATGGGATATACTCTGATCCTCTGACGTGAACACTAAAGCAAGCTGCACAATAAATATTGATATATAAGGTTCGATATTGAACATAATGTAAACGTGATATGCATACGACCGGAAATGATATTTACAAACAAGTCGCAAAACGAATTAAAGAAACAATTTTTCTTGGAGAATGACCCATGTTAAGAGAATTTGGCTTCTAAGCATTTGTCTGGAAAACGGTACACGGTTATTTCACAGACAAGTTCTGGCTTATGGGACTGAATGAATGCGTTAGTTACTCTTGGAACTACAATATTCATTTATTGAGTCTAGAGCAAAAGAGAAAAAAGAAAAAGACCAAAAAAGAAGAATACAGATAATTACAAGAAATACTTGGCTGTACCATTTTCAATCTTCATAACACTCTGAAGCATGACATCCATCTTTGTTTTCATGTCTGACGAGTCATCCATCTTTGGAGCAACAAGACTGAGCTCTCTATAGATTTCACGCACAAATCTGCAGATTTTCTGAGCATAGTGGAGTTCACCATCTGATATCCTACCTATGGCCAACCTCATGAGCTCCCCAGTCAAGTCCGCCAGCTAAAGAAGTTTGAATCAAGAGTAACAGTGTTTGAGAGAATTGGACAAAAGAAAATGTTCTGGTGCTGTAAATGGTAAATATAACTTGAACCTTAAACGTTCAAGCTTGTTTATTTTCCTACGCGATCAACGGCGAATTTGTAACCACTAAAAGGTACAAAAGTGATTGCCCACTTCTAGGTGGATGGGGGAAAAAATAGTTATAGATATTTTCCAATGCCAAAAAAAAACATAATTTATATAGATAGAGGTTTGATTGTGTATCAAATTTATAGATATTTTCCAATGCCAAAAAACATAATTTTTTATTTCACGTCCTAATTCAAACTTTATCAGCAAACACTACCTAACGTTTACTCACAAGTATTTTCGGCTCTTACTTAAATAAATGTAAAATAAATTTTTTTGCTCTTACCTAAATAAATAGAAGAAAAATTTTCTGCAAAAATTACTAAGTAAAGAAATGTTCGGGACAATTACCCCCAATAGATAGTCAAGCACATTAATCTGCAAAGGCTCCAAAGATGGGTCGCTTAGAGGTAGCAACGAAGTATTGATCTCATCAAGATTCAAAAGTGTACCATTTTTACAAAAGTTGCAGAGTGTAGCAGCTTCAACATATTCCTGAATCTAGAACATATAAGGGGAAACAAATTAAGCCTCAGAACCTAATGAAGCTTTAAGAATAGTCAGTGGAAAAATAGTTAATTATGGGTACCCCAGGGGAATAAGCTCGTCTAAGCTTCCAAAAGTCTGTTCCATGCAGCTCTTTTACTATGCGTGACACGTGTTGATCCATCACGGCAGCTAAATCTTTTTCAGCTTTCTCCAAAACTTCTTCCTTGTTGTGCTTACTCATTCTTTTATTACAAAGATTAAACCAATTATTAAGAAAGATTTTCATTCAAACAAATTCATTGCTAAAAGTGTAACTTTTACCTATGCACCTGGAATATGACCTTTTTGCTATTCATAGTCACATCACGGCTTGCTTTCACAACCCGTTCTCTCTTTTCATTCTGTTTGTGCACACAAATCAACAGCAGTACTAATATATCAGGCAATCAAAGCCACAGAATGAACTCATACTGCAGATATTTGTGCATGTCAAGAAATGTGCAACTATTCAACCGATTAAAAACTTATAACAACTTGCATCAGTATTTCTAATTGTAACAGAAAAACTTGGTGACTGACTGCTACAATAGAAATATAGTGCTCATTACCGAATGATCTGCATAAACTCAAAATCACTTAATAAGTAAAGAATCCATAGGTAAACATAATGCTATGCTATCAACAATGAACATTTGCATTTTGATGGGAAAAGTGAGCCACTTTACGTTATTCACTGTGTGGCGAAAGTGTACCATTTTAAGTCATTCAAAATGAGATCTGCGGGCAAACATGTTCGCGTGGCCAAAGAAAAATTCAAGTTAAGACTAAGAAGAATAGAATTCAGCCGAATAACGAGCAACATCTCCAATAAAGGGTCTTGCACGACTCGAGTAACAGAATCTCCATGAACATAACACTTAACAAACACTATCAGTAAAGAAAACCCACATACACGAGCTAACACAATGAAAAAGGGTCGTATTCGTACTAAAGATCCCAACTTTTCAACGAACACCAGCTTGATTCAAGAAAATGTCAGACAATATAGAGAAGCACGAAAAGGGTCGCACCAGATCATTAAGGTAAGTTGCGTATTTGGAAAAGGCCTCCTTCATGGGATTTGTCTCGGAACCAGCGGAGGAGGCGGTGGCCATGGTCCGCGGCTTCTTGTTGGCAGCGGCGGCGGCCAGCAGGGAAGGGTCAGCAACTGTTTGATGAAATGCGTCAATAAAATTATTCGTAACAAGGTTAACAAAAACTGCACGAATTGAGTAGCGGGAGGCTTACTGCGGCGGATGGTGTGGGGTTTAGTGGCCATGAGAGACGAGAGTTTGTAGACCGCCGAGGAATTGAACATCTGTTGCTCCCTCACTCGACAGTATCAGCGGTCGAACACATGTAATGTATATGAACTAGCAGCGTTGTGTATTACACTATTACTCATGTTAATAATTTTTTTTAATAGAAAGAGTAAAATAAAAAGTAAATTTTTTGTTTTAAATTTATATTTTAAATGCCACTTACCCATTCTGTATTATATATTTTTTGAATATTATATTATCATATTTTTTCCTATTTTATATATTACATAATAGACTTAATAGATGAATTTATTTAGTTAATAAATCATTTAATTATTTTTTAATTAATACTAATAAATAAACTTAATTTTTATCATAAATATATATATGTATATATATATATATGTACAATATGAATATCAAACTAAAGCTTATGAAGAGATAATTACATTGTCATATGAAATATCAGATTTGATAACAAATTTATAAGTTACTATCTTTTAAATTTTGTTTATAATTTGATTACTCGAGTTTTTATACAATTTTAAAAGTCTAAGAGCACCCACAATGCTTTAGGTTTATTCACAAAAATATACATGTCACATAAGAAATAGATTCAGTCAAAAACATATGTACTCCAATGCAAGTGCAAGTGGACCGTGTCTTGCTTATGTGGCAGCAAGAAAAAGAGGCTCGATCTAGCCTTAAGTCTATTTTAGACTCAAGTAGAGACCTAGTCTCTTTGCATTGGAGTTAAATTTGATACTTTTATATATTTTTGTCCATGTCATCCAAGACTTGTGTCTATTTACATGCCACTTAAGCACAATTAAACCCAAAGCATTATAGATGCTTATGGAGAACCACTGTTACATGAACGACTCTGAACCACAAAAAACTGACACATATGGTTATGCATCACCATATATCTAGACATGGCCACGGGCCGGCCCGACCTACCGGTTCTACCCAAATCGGTCCGTGGTCAACGGGCTCGGACCGTAGTTTGACCGGGCCAATTCTCGGCCTCATGTATGAATTTTTTTGTCCTAGTGGGCCGGGTCGGGCCGAAACCGGCCCTAGAGGGTTCAATTTNTCCCGAACCGTCGGTTCACCAACCCAGAACTGAACGGTCGGGCCGATTCTGGGTACGTGTTTGTAGGCCCGACGACCAGCCGGCCCAGTCCGGGTCAAATGGTCATGTCTACATATATTAGCATATAGGATTACAAAGTATGCACACACGACTCTTTCTTTCCCACACATACATTGTACACTCACACACTCACGCACACACATAACACCACCATCCGTCGCTGCCATCGTCATTCCGTCGTTGTCAGTCCTGCCGTCGTCGTCCATATTTCTTCGTGCAATTGAAGCGTCGTCGAGGTCTAGCAACCGTCCGCCGACGAAATCCAGGATCGGCTTCAACATGCCTCCTCAAAGGGCCGTCTCCACCGCCGCCTGGAAAATTCCCAAATTTTTGGTTCAGAGGATGTCCACGGCACCGCTCACCAAGTTCACCGTCCACCCGGCGACCTCGAACACTAGCGAGTGGAAGCTCGCCTCTTCCGGTGACACCAATCGACGTCGTCACTCTCTTCGTCCAGACTGCGACCTACTGTAGCGATTCATGGTGGTTCATGGACGTTCGAGGCTCTACCGGTCTGAACATCGGCGGCGTTTGGAAATTGCAATTTAGATTTGGGGCCTTCTTTTGAAAAATCGACAATTTACAAGTACTTAGTTGCAATTTTAAAAATTGTAATATATTTTATTTTGTCTTGGTCAAATATGAAATTTAATAAAAGTATTTTTTTTTTCCAAAAAAAAAAAGTTCTGTAGACAAATATTGTTAAGTGGTATTCACATTATAACATGTAGATTTGCACATTAAAAATACACAATGTGTATGTATATGCATATTAAAAACACATGTGTTGTAGAACACCCAATAGTCTTAGACTAAATACACATTAATGGCTCCGAGAATGTATTTTAGCATAATGTATTCCGCGTTAAAAGAAAATACTAAAATGTACAATGTTATGCTTTTGTGTATTTTCACATGTATTGTCCATTGAATTTGTTGCTATTGTGCATTCTGTAGCACGTACAAGGGTGTGCAATTTTCGTTAAAAAAAATGACTGAAATCGACTGAAATAAAATTATCGGTTCGGGTTTTTATATGTCATTTCGGTTATCTAATTTTTAGTTTTAAAATTTTGTTATTTTGATTTAGTCTCGGTTATTTTGGTTTGGTTTTGGACAAAAGTTTTTTCAAATTTTTTTTTTTTACATCAAAAGTTAAAAGATTTCATAAGGGCAAACCGGGGAGGACAACGAGTAGGAGAAATAGACTGGATATCCTCCATGGTTGGAGGGGTCCCATTGAAGGCATACTTCCAACGAGGTTGTATTTACGAATGGTTTTAAAAGCCTCGAAAATGAAACAGAGCAAAATTGTCCTCTAAAAAGGAAAATATTGAAGTCCAGTGCTGTAGCTAACGCGTTAAGTATCTACCACTGAGCTACGGACTTTAATCGTCACCCAAAATGTGAGCAACTCAGAAATCCTTTGATAACAGGGATTCCTATTTCTCAATGCTATTCCAAAATCAAGATAATTGGCTGAATCCTGTGAACCCAATAGTCTTAGACTAAATATACATTAATGGCTCCGAGAATGTATATTAGCATAACTGTGTATTCCGCGTTAAAAGAAAATATCAAAATATAGAATGTTACGCTATTATGCATTTTCACATGTATTGTGCATTGAATTTGTCGCTATTGTGCATTCTGTAACGTGAACAAGGGTGTGCAATTTTCATTAGAAAAAATGACTGAAATAAAATTTTCAGCTCGGGTTTTTATATGTCAGTGTGGTTATCTATTTTTTGGTTTTAAAATTTTGTTATTTTGGTTTAGTTTTGGACAAAAGTTTTGTAAATTTTTTTCAAAATTTCGACTGAGTTATTTCGATTTTTACATTTCAGTTCATTTGGTTCGGATGAACAATATTGTGACATTTCTTTAATTATGTTGACTTTTTTTTTGAAAAAAATCATTTACCCATTTATTCATATATTATGAACAATATATGAACAATAAATTATAATGATAACGAACTAGCTATTTTTTGAACAACGATGTAAATTGTTATCTTGAAAAAAATATATTTATAATATAAGTTATTGTAAATATAATGATGATCAACCGGTGTCGACTGCCATGTGAATTATTAGATTAGAAAGAAAATTTAAAATATTTATAATATTCATTATCATAAATTATATAACAAAATTGACGTAATTAAAAATTAATCAAGTGTCAATTTGTAACATTATTCATAATTTTTCAACTTTAAAATTATTTATTTAAAAAATATAGATAATATATCGTAATAACGTACAAGTCAAGGAAGAAAGAGACATGTATTTTATCAGTATTATTTATTAATAATTTTTTAGTATATTAAATTTTCATGTTCCTTTTCTATAAATAATCTGTAAAATGACAACTATTTTATAACGGTTAAAATACTTATATAAATTATACATTAAACTATTAGTATCATAATAGTATAAATATATAAATATTAATATTAATATTCAAAGTTATTAATTCTTTACTAATCGATATTTCTGCACTATTTTAATTCATATGAGTTATTATTATTGACCCGTGTATCACAAGTGTTACGCACTAGTTCTTGCTAAAATAATTATATGTTTTTGGATGGATGCATTAGAGAAATGCATTTCAAATTGTTATACCACAAATCTTCGAACCGTTTGACCGCCTCTCTCGAACCGGGTTGTGTCTCCCTGATCGTCGGTACCTGCAAAACACGTCGGGGGTGGTCCCGGCGTGGACACTCCGACGCTCAAGTTAGTGGTGTATCCGAGAGAAACGATAGAGTAACGAGATAATGTGTGTATGTGTGTTGTGTAAAATGAATGACATGTGCCCTTTTATAGATGAGGTCATGTATAGGCCGAAGAGTTCTTGTCGGACCATAAGTCTTCCTCATGTCTACCTCTAAATCAAGTCAGATATTTCAGATCTTCAGAGTCCTCATCGCTACAAACTTCCTTGTGACTTGGTCAAAAAGCCATCTCCAGGCTCTGGTCCCCTCGGCAAGACCCTCTAGTCGAGCTGCCTAGGTGCCGAGGTGCCTATACGCCGAGCTACCTAGGTGCCTAAGCGCCGAGCCGCTTAGGTGATCACACCCGCGGAGCTTACCAACCTTTAGTACTCCGCCTAGCTAGTCCTCGCCTAGCTCCCATCCGCCTATCTTACCATCCTTTGGTACTCCGCCTAGCTAGTCCTCGCCTAGCTCCCATCCGCCTAGCTTACCAACCTTTGATACACCGCCTAGCTAGTTCTTGCCTAGCTCCCATCCGCCTAGCTTACCAACCTTTGGTACTCCGCCTAGCTAGTCCCCGCCTAGCTAGTCCTCGCCTAGCTTACCAACCTTTGGTACTCCGCCTAGCTAGTCAAACCACGCCTAACTGGTTGAACCACGCCTAGCTGATTGAACCATGCCTAACTGTTTGAACTCCGCCTAGCTGACCCACCTTTGGTATGCTACCGAAGTGCTCATGCCAAGCTAGCCCCTTGCCTAGCTCCTATTTAGTGTAAATGTGACCAAACTCAGATCACAACCGGTCCTCCATGAACCGCTACTTATGACCATATCATCTAGCCCCCCCATTAGACAAACCATCACAACTTGGCGTAAGAAATAGAAAAATTACTCACATCGCAGCAAGTGGTCACAACCGGATTGAAAAAATATCAGTCGTCTATCATAATCATGCTGATCTCATTCGGACTTTTCGCCGCCACGTGAACTCGCCTACGAAGTACCACGGCAATGCCAAGCTGATCTGCATGAGGTGTCGCGCCTGACGCTCCCCGTTGCTGAGAGGCCGAGCTGACGAGTTGTAGGATGACGAGGTGCGCGTTGCACCAGCGTGCTGCGACACACGAACGACGAAGCCGGGAAGCGCCGAGGTGGCGTATGCCGAGCTCGGAAGCGACGAGGTGCGCATCGCGCTAGGCTGCAGATGACGAGCTGAGAAGCAACGAGGTGACATATGCCGTGCTGGGAAGCGACGA